CAAAATGGGTAAAATGAGGAATATGAGAGATAGACGTGAAAGGGGACCTAGAGGAGATCTTAGAGACTTTGGTGGAGATAGGGTTGATCGGAATTTGGGTTGCATTAAGATGAAAATTCTTTCATTCCAATGTAGAAAAGATCCGGAGGTATATTTAGAGTGGAAAAAGAAGTTGGAGTTGATCTTTGATTGCCATAATTATTCGGAAAAAAAGGTGAAACTAGCAGTAATAGAGTTTATCGGTTATGCAATCATATCATGGGATCAATTAACAACAATTAGGAGGAGGAATTATGAGAGGCATATTAAAACATGGGGTAAATTAAAGGCTATCTTGAGGAAGAGATTTGTACCTAATCATTACTATAGGATTTTTATTAAAAACTTCAAAGCCGTAGTTACGGTTCGAGAAGCGTGGAGGATTACCATAAGAAGATGGATATAGCTATGATTAGAGCAAATGGTGAGGAGGATCGGGAAGCGACAATGGCTAGCTTTTTGAATGGTTTGAATAGAGAGATAACCAATGTAGTGGAGCTACAACATTGTGTAGAGTTGGATGACATGTTACACGTAGCTATGAAGGTGGAGAGGCAATTAAAAAGAAAATGAGCAGCTAAGTATTCTTCAGGCTCTAATCCTTCTTGAAGACCAAAGTGGAATAGTAATAAAAGTAATAGGGCTATTTCAAGGGTTAAGACCAAACCATCAAGGGAAAAAAAACGCTATCAAAGTAAAACCCAAGATAGATTCCCAACCTTCTAGGAATAGGGATATCAAGTGTTTTACGTGCTTGGGTTCAAGGAACATTGCTTCTCAATATCAAGACAAAAAGGGCAATATCTTGCATGATAATGGAGAAGTGGTGAGTGACACCGATAGTGATGAGATGCTCGAATTGGAGGATGGTACCAATGGTAGGTGAAAAACTTGTTACGAGACGTGCTCTCAGTACACAAATCAAAGTAGATGATATGGAGCAACAAAGGGAGAACATCTTTCATAGTAGGTGCCATGTCAACAATGTATGTAGTATGATTATTGATGGGAGAGTTGTACCAATGTTGCTAGTACTATCGATGTAGAAAAATTGGGTTTGGCTATGCTAAAGTATCCTAGACCCTATAGGTTGCAGTAGTTAAATGAATGTGGAGATGTTATGGTTAATAAGCAAGTCTTGGTGATGTGACGTCGTTCATATGCATGTTGGGCATATTTTGTTGGGAAAGTCATGACAATATGATAGAAAAGTGATACATGACGGGTATAAAAATAGGTACGATTTTGTTAAAGATCAGAAATTTGTTACTCTTGTGCCATTAACACCAAAACAGGTCTATGATGACCAATTGAAATTGAGAGGTGGTGAAGAGAAGAAAAACAAAGAGAGACAAAAGGAAATGACACTGATACTTCAAAGGAGATAACAAAGTGAGGAGATTGAATATAAAGAGAAAAGAGTAAGCCACAAGAGAAAAAGAAATAGAGTGTTCAGTGAGAAAAGAAAAGTCAAAAGTGAGTTTGTTTGCAAAAGAGAGTGAAGTAAAGAGGGCTTTAGTGGAAAATCGGCCTTTGATATTACTGGTCTACAAAGAATCATACTTCAATTTTGAGGAAACTAACCATCCCGTTCCCAATTTGGCTATTTCTTTGTTGTAGGAAATTGGAAACTTGTTCCCCTAAGATATGCCTAGTGGTTTACCAGACAATTGAGGCATTGAGCATCGGATTAAGTTTTATACCTGAAGTTGTTATTCCAAACCAATCAACTTATAGAAATAATCCTGAGGAGGCAAAGGAGCTTCAAATGCAAGTGGAGAAATTGATGAGCAAGGGGTATGTAAGGGAAAGCATGAGTCCATGTGCCATGCAAATGTTACATGTACCTACAAGGATGGGACTTAGAGAATATGCATTGACTGCAGTGATGATATGCTTGATGAACTGCATAGATCATGTATATTTAGTGAAGTAGATCTTAAAAATTGATATTACCGAATTAGAATGAAAGAATGAGATGAATGAAAAATTGCTTTTAAGACTAAATATGAATCGTATAAGTGGTTAGTTATATCATATGAATTTCATGAGATTAATAAACCATGTTCTACGTACATTTATAGGTAAATTCATAATAATTTACTTTGATGACATTCTAGTGTATAGTAAAAACTTAGGGGAGCATATAGAGCATTTGAGGTGTGTCTTTATTGTCTTGAAGCATGAACAACTTTATGCTAACTTTAAAAAGTGTATATTTTGCACGGAAAAAATTATTTTTCTTGGTTATATTGTTAGTGCAAAGAGTATTGGAATGGATGAGGAGGAAATCAAAGCCATAAAGAAATGGCCAACACCTAAAAGCATAATTAAGGAAAGAAGCTTTCAGGTTTAGCTACCTTTTATAGGTGCTTTGTTAAAGATTTTAGCACACTTGCCAAACCACTCACTGAAATTGTGAAAAAGAGTGTAGGATTTCATTTGGGCATTGAACAAGAACACATATTTAATACTATTAAGAATATGTTGTGTTTTACACCTGTTATAGCACTACTCAACTTTAAGAAAACTTTTGATATTGAATGCGACGTCTCAGGTATAAGAATTGGAACTTTTTTAATGCAAGAAAAGGGACCAATAGCTTATTTCAATGAAAAGTTAAACGGGGCAGCTTTGAATTATCCAACATATGACAAAGAGCTTTATGCATTTGTTCAAGCTTTGGAAACATGATAGAACTACCTATGGCCTAAGGAGTTTGTATTCCACACCAATCATGAGTCATTGAAACATCTAAAGGGCTAAGGTAAATTAAACAAGAGGCATGCGAGGTAGATTGAGTTTTTTGAGACATTTTCTAATGTCATTCAGTATAAACAAGATAAAGATAACATAATAGCCTATGCATTATCAATGAGATATGTACTTCTTACATCTTTAAGTGCAAAAATGCTTGGGTTTGAATATGTTAAGGACATGTATGCTAACGATTTGAATTTTTCTATATATATATATATATCATGTTATAAAGATGCAATTGATAAATTTTATAAGTATGCTGGATATTTGCTTAAGGAAAATAGGTTGTGTTCATAATTATTTTATTCGTGAATTGCTAGTACGTGAAGCACAGTGGAGCTTTATGGGATATTTTGGGATTAAGAAGACCTTAGAGATGTTGCATGAACATTTTTATTGGCCTAAAATGAAAATGGATATTAATCGTATTTGTAGTAGATACATTACATGTAAAAATGTTAAATTTAAGGTTTTACCACAAGGGTTATATACATCTTTACATGTTCCTAGTGAGTTTTAGGTTGATGTGTCTGTGGATTTTTTGTTGGGATTGCCTAGAACTAAAGGGGCAGAGATTCCATATATGTGGTAGTGGATAGATTTAGTAAGATGTCATACTTCATTCCTTGTCATAAAACAGATGATGCTACGTACTTATTCTAAGGAAATAGTGCGACTCCACGGGATACCAAAGGGTATTGTGTCAATAGAGATGTTAAGTTCCTTAGTCATTTTTGGAGGGTTTTGTGGGGTAAGTTGGGAACCAAACTATTATTTTCTACTACTTGTTGTCGACGAACAAATAGACAAATCGAGGTAGTCAATAGGACATAGACACAACTTTTACGCATTATAGTCAATAAGAATTTAAAAAGTTGAGAGGATTTACTTGCCATACATAGAATTTGCATATAATATGACCATACATCCTACTACTTATGCGCCTTTTGAAATGGTAAATGGTTTTTAATCCATTAACTCTTTTGGATTTAATTATTTTACCTGTTGATGAAAGATGTAGTCTACATGGGAAGAATAAGACTGAATATGTAAGATCAATCCATGAGAAGATGTGCATCAAATTGAGGAGAAGAACGAGCATTATACTTCTTAATCTAATAAAGGACGAATGCGTGTTACATTTGAATCAGGTGATTGGGTTTGGGTGCAAATAAGAAAAGAGCATTTTTCAACCCAAATGAGGTCAAAATAGCAACCGAGAGAAGATGGACTATTCCAAATTCTTGAAAAGATCAATAACAATGCCTATAAATTGGATCTTCTAGGTGAGTATAACATTTCTACTACTTTTAATGTTTCTGATCTTTCTCCGTATGATACCAGTGGAGATTCGAAAACGAATCCTTTTTGGAGAGGGGGAAATGATGAGAACCATGGGACGAAGGTTAGTGAGGATCCGTTGATTGTTGAGACAAATAAAGAGATTGCGAGCAAAGAAGATCAAAGAAGCCACGAGATTACTTGTTTAAGCTATGTGGGCAAAGAATTCAATTGCAACAAGCAAAACATCAAGTTCGATACTGGGCATGGAAAAGGAACCAAGATTAGTGCAATTAATTCAACCTAAGTTGAAAGAAACGAAGTCTGAGTGTAGCCGAAAAGTGGCCCGCACGCAGGCAAAGTTGGTCGCAAGCGCACTAGGTGTAAAATTTCAACCAGTAGCCAACTCAATAGGCTTGATGTTTTTCATTAGGGTTTTTATAAGTTGCCTATATATATGATCTCATTCCTTCATTGCAAAGTAAGGTTGATTTCTTCTTTTTTATCATTTAACTCAATTTCGAATTTATCAAGAATTTCATCTTTGTGACGTTCAACAACTTTAAAACAGGATTCACAATTTTTGTAATTAAAGTGTCAAGTTTATTTATAACTTTGGTTAATTGATTCTATAAATTATTGCATCAAGCTTCAAATCGGAATTTTAGCCTGGTCAATCTTTTGTGAATTTCGGAGTTACTATTATTACGTGGGTTCACATCAAGATAAATTTTCTTTATCAAAGGATACGAGAGCCCAATTTCTTTCAAAAAGCCAAAACAGCCTGGTCAATTACATATAGCTTGATATTTTCTCTTTAGAATCTTAAATCACCAAGAATAAATCATTCCAGCTGAATTTTTTTACAAATTCCAACTGAGTTTGGAGTCAATATGAGCCGAGCCCAGGCCCATGAAATTTTACACTTCTGCTATATGGGTTTTCTCGTTTATGTTTGGTGTCGTTCCTTCCCACAGCTCTGCTAGCTCATTTCTCATCCAAGAGATGACGATTATCGGCCCCAAAGTAGACGGTACCTACATTCATCAAACAAGTACAAGTACTGAAAATGAGTATACCTGTACTGAAAATGAGTAATAAACCACAACAAATAATATAATCAAGTAATCAACGAATACTTATTGGAGGTATTGTAGTCATTGCTTCAGTCAAATTTTCACTTCTCCAAGAATTTTCAATATCAGTGCCAATGCTTTTTGGGGCATGGCCAAACTAAAGTAAACAAAAAACCATCTAGTGACAATGTTGTGAAAGAAACATCAGAAAATTTGTGTCTATATTACAAGCAGTTAGCAACTCTCTCTCTACAAATATGAAAGAATAGAGAAAAAATTTGGGCACGTGCAACAATTTCCAAATGTAAACTAAATCATCAAAAGTTTTGCGTGTGCATCCTCACTATAAAAGTTCGAATACATGAAAACAATCATACCAGATACAGAAGTGCTGGTTGAGGAGAATGCGTCAAAATTCCAGCCGATAAGGCAGCAACCAGTCCAATTGCATATCCAGAGAGGGCATACCAAAAATACTTAAACCCCTTCAAAGATTGTATATCGGTGGATCTCATGGAATCCTTGCTTTGTCTGTTATCAAAAAAGAGAACCAATGCTACAAGCATCGAAGGAATAGCCTGCAAGACCACGTCCCAAAATTACAAGATGTCAGAAGGTTGTCAACTGTATTTCTTAAGAAGCACTTGGATTAAACAAGACAGACAAAACGCAATGAAGGACAAAAAAGAAGGCATGCCGTCACGACATCCCAAAACCACTACAGGAAAAAAAATGCTATAGAAGTTGATAACTGTGACACAATATTTTGCAAACGCCACTTGGCATCATATAAAAAAGTATTCAAACACAATTTTTCCTTCAAGATAGCTTCCAATCTTCATTCGCATTTTTTTTCTAAGTTATATTTCCAACACTATAATCCTAAGATATAAAGGGATAATGGGTTTCAAGACCTTTTGCTTGGTAACAGATTTCGTATTATAAATATCATTTAAGGTGACTAAATATACTTCACACGATTAAATGAATGCACCAACGAAACAGAACATGAGTTGTAGAGGAAAAGACAGATCACTATGCAGTAAAGGTGTATAGTCATGGTTTTACAACCCTTGCAAGAACTGACCAACCTAAACGGTAGAAAAGGAAACTAAAGTCAAGCCAACTTAACCCAAGTACTCAGAGAGTAGATGATCATGTAAAGCGATAACTCTGACAGGTTACCCACAGAGACAACAAATACTTGGTTAGAAGACTATGCAACATTAGTTCAAAAAGAGTTTATCTTGAGGCCTCACCGGAAGCAGTTTATAACAAAATCTACCAAAGGGAGACATTACCCCAGTCAAGGACAGGAATATTTAAAGCATCATCTCAATAGACCCCTACTAAGACATCTAGATCTGATTCAAATTTAGAAAAATACAAATGAAGAATCTGTGCCTTCATTTTAGGGCAGGAGGCAACATCTGACATTGAACTCGGATTAATATTGCATTCTGATCACAAGACTTCATGATGCATTATAGCACAATTTCTTTGACAGCAGATAGATGGTAAAATAATAGCAGAAATAAAAACTAGAATCTTGTGAAGGATGTTACATGTGAATGAGAAAAAATTATTGTATTTGAAGTGTTCAAATTGAAACAACAGAAACCAGAGAAAACAACTTGTACCAAACAGAATTGCAAAGAATGTTTAGACCTAGAGTTCAACCAAAGATATAATACAGGTGAAGAAACATGCCAGAAGGCAGGTCTAAAAGTATTCTAACGCAACCCACCATCCCCAATACCTCTGATGAAAGTAGAGAAGGGATGAGTGTACAATTAAACATGCTAAATCATTTTCTTTAATGGTAGATGCGATTCTTAAAACTAACAGAAATTATCTTACCATGTCACCAAGACCTAGCATCATGTAGTCAGAGCCACTATTTCCAGGTATTGCACTACCTAGCATATTCCTTGGAAAGACAATCTTGACCGGCAACTCGAGTTTTTTTGTAATCAACTGCAATCCAGGAAGACTTAAGCCATTTGCCACTGTGTGCACGGGATTAGACGCTTGTTGTGTCGCTACAGATACCATAACATTTTCTCCAAAAATTCTCTCTGAATAGAACACCCAGAATATGTCATAGACAAACAGACAAACAAGGAGCAATGCACATATCTTGATGTTGGGAAGTCGAACATGGCTGACAAAAGCAATGCAAAGGGAGATACCCAACAAGTTGTTCAAAATCCAGTGCCCAGATACAAGCCACGATACTACTAAAGCAACACAGATAAACAGTAGAAGCCCTTGGGTTCGGGTAAATGATTGGGAACAGCATCGAGATACATATGGGTCAGATAAACCAAATTGTGACTTGATGTGACTAACATATGGTGATAAGCAGAAGTACAGAGCTGATGCAGAGGCAACTGCAGTAAAAGCAGTGAGGAGTTGTGAGACAGAAGAGAACAAATAAAACATCAAAAGCAGGCTGCAAGAGCTCATTATTGGGATCATCAGTGCCTGAGACCTGTCTAATGTAATGGATGCTTCAGATAAGTCCCGGTTCCGCTCCATTTCTTTTCCATAATTCAGAGCTCGAGTAGCAGATGCAAATGTCACTGCTATGGCTGTCAAAATGAGGGTGACTGGAGCAGGTTCCAGCAAATAAACGAGTTCCCACAAAGACTCCATGTCTTAAATTGTCTAAAACTTTGTACCTCAAAGTTGTTTTGAAAACTTAAAAGCCACTTGGATCAGTCACCATCCAAAATTTTCTGTAGAGAAATTATATTCAAAAGAAACAAAATCAACCAAATTGAAGAAGAGGTTCCCAGATAATCAATGGGGTTGCTCTTTTTTATTTGATGAACATTCAACCAGATAAGTATATGCAACCTGGATAAATGAAACACAAATAAGGAGCAAACAGTTCAACCAATTCAATAAAATCAAAAGAAGCAACTTCAATAAGAAGAAACTTACCGCCTCCTCAAATTGAAATTGTCTAAAACTTTGAATCTCAAAGTTGTTTTGAAAACTCAAAAGCCACTTGGATCAGTCACCATCCAAAATTTTCTGTGGAGCAATTATATTCAAAAGAATCAAAATCAACCAAATCGAAGAAGAGCTTCCCAGATAATCAAAAACTAATGGGGCTGGACTTTTTTATTTGATGAACATTCAACTACAGAAGTTTAGGCAACTTGGATAAATGAAACACAAATAAGGAGAAAACAGTTAAACCAATTCAATAAAATCAAAAGAAGCAACTTCACAAATTATACAACTTACTGACTCACTCAAATATCCGTATAAACCTTCTTCCAACCAGAAAAAATAAACACAAAAATATGAAAATCATCTTATGTTCTTTTCCTCAGAAATAGTTTACTATTAACATATTCTTTCGATAATTTTAATCAACAAATCCCTTTTATAAAATCTTTGTTCAAACATCAATATAACTGCACTGCAAAAGACGCGTGAGAATAAACACTGACCCCCGTATTTCATAAACCGGATTTCTCAAAATCAAAATCGTCCGTAGAATTCAAAAGAGCAAAAACTAATTAACGATATTTATTACAAGTACTAGCAAAACTAATTAATCCATTAAAGCAATTACATATATGCCATCAGAAAGCAAACAAATTCGGTAAATTTTAAATGGGTTGACTAAATAACAGAGAGAAAACACAGAGATCTCAAAGTAAAAAAGAAATGCGATGAATTATTACACAAATATGAAAAATAATGTCAATAATTTAACAGTTTCTAAAATGGAATTACCTTTGACTTGAAAAATCTTTCCGACTTCTCCTCTAAACCGAACGAGGGCTTCGATTCTCAATGGAGTGTGGTTTCACGGTAAAGGAGACGAGGAGGATTTTACGCTTTATCCCCAGCCTATCTAGTAATTCTATTTTCACCCCAAGGGTTTGAAGATTTTTCGTAGTCAAAGGATAGTGGATATGGAACTTGAGCCTCGAACTAAAAGATTTGCATTTGGCAGGTTCCATAATCAAGTAATGAACTAAGATATGTAAAAAGTTTCATTAATCACTGAACTTTGAACGTTGTCACATTGTGGTTATTGAACTTCAATATGCTGCTGATCGATCACTGAACTTGTCCAACGTTCCCTCATTTCCGTCACTGACCAGAATCTCGTTTGAACAGTAGCTGATGTGGCTCGACAGAATTCTAATAGGCAACCGACAGAGCGAATTTCTCGCCACTTCAGAGCCTAATATGGAAATTACTCAATCCTCACCTTCCCAGTACTTCAATTTTGGGAGCCCAATTCGAAATCCCTAAGTCGAAACCTCCACCCAAATCCCCAATTCAAATCCCATCCAACTCCAGTAGAATCACGAACCCTCCCTTTCGAAAACTCCAAATTGCCTCCCTGCCAAAGTCGAAAACACAACTTGAAGCACATTACGTTCCTCCAATGCCTTCAGTTGAACGAGCCCTAAATCATTTTCAAACCCAAATCGTCCCACCTGGAGACGAAGTAAATTTCAGTCAATACAGATCTCGATAAAGGTAAATGTCAACACGTAATCTCACCTACAATTTAGTATCTTGTGAAGCTAAAACACAGCTGAATGAATATAAACATTTCTCAATTTCTGGCTGCACAAAGTCAATTGAATTTTTTTAACATTCTTTTCAGTAGGTTGTTTGAATAATTACATTCTTTACCTTTTCCATTTTTGCTAATTGAATACGTCATTTGCTAAGTACATTGTTTACCTTTCCCATGTTGCTTGAGAAGGCTGTTCATTCATAAATTGGTATACTGACATTGTTCCAGAATGTAGAATTTTGCTGTATGTAATGCGAGCTTCCCTGGCTCTGTCCTAGATTTGTGGGGCATGACCAATTGATTTGTTTTATCTGTGATGGTCCAAAATGAATGAAGTCCTAATGATGTATATAGTATTTATTGGTATGAGGGGTGTCTGATCTGATGAAGTCTTATAGAAAATCAGCTCCAGTGTCCAGTATTTGCTAGAGTGTGAACTTTTTAAACTCTTCAGCTCATGCTGGATGTTATAACATTGCTAATTACTTTGTACACATTTCCACTGTTTCAAGTGCAATGGTAGGGAAGAACATGGGCATATGTCACAATTGTAGGAAGAGTGGGCACTACTTGTCAGACTGCCTAATAAAGAAACGATGTCTAAAATGTGGCCAAGGATTTGAGAAATGTATGGAGGTGGAGAAAAATACTTCAAAGATTGGGAGATTGTTCTTATATTGTACTAACGATTGTGGTCGCTTTAAGTGGAAGGATGAAGAACAATCTGCTGCGAGTTCGAGTTATATTTGTTCGGATAATTGTAAAGCTAAATATCCGTGCCAAGACCTGTCATGTATGTTCAACACATGTACTCAAATAACTGAAGAAAAAGACATCGAGATATCCATCAACATTACCATAAGTAAAGGAAAAGGGCGTACGGAGGATAATAGGAAAGGAAAGGGAAAAGTTTAGTGAACTTGTTGCAACTACGTGATTAAGTTGAAGACTTTTATTGTATTTGTCAAAATCCATATTTATGTAAATTATGTATGTTGTAAAACTTCGGTAAAAATCTTCTTGTAAGGATTTTATGTAATCGTTTTTTATTGCACCATGAACTAGTTACGAAGTTCATTTGGCTGAGGAAATCTATCTTTTGATATGCACATTTTCACAGGCTAATTCTGGTAGCTAGTAATAGTAGAATAATAAAAAAAACTAATGAACATAAAATAATGACATAGAAAAATTCTGCCATAATGTTCCTTACAATGATGTTCCTTACAATAATGACATTCACTTCACTAGTGAGTCAAAAAAACAATGATGTTCCTTACAATGCCCTAATGGCTCCTTCCAATGCCATTTACTAGCAAAAACAAAAAACAGTGACGTACACTCAAAATAACCATGACGTTCATTACAATGCCCTAATGGCTCGTTACATCACTTCATTAGTCAGTCAAAAAAAAACATCATAATCAGACTAATGTTAATCACAACAAAAACAACGGGTTCATCTTCATTTGGGGATCGGAATGAAACACATTGGCTCTTTTTCATTTGGGTTTCGGGTCGATGACAATCCATCACCTCTTAATGAAACTATTTTACCCTGTAATCCAACAGAAACCATTATTTATAATAAATAAGAAACCTAGTTAATTAGCTAAAAATGAATGTGATGTTTACTCACATGTTCATCAACTGCTATGTTGCTATTTAAAGCAACGGGTTCTAATTCAGCATCGTACCATTCCTGTCCAAAGAAATGTTAAAATAAAGTAAAAGATACCAAACACTAGCTAAAGAAATATACTTACATGAACTGTGGCACCATCGCTTGAGTGATATCTTTTATTGTGCCCCGTTAATCCACATATCGAGCACGTCATGCACACTTGCCCTTTCTTCGTGATGTATGACTTTCCCTGGCTTTGTAATACCATTCTTCCTCCTGTTTCCTTCTCTTTTTCTGTTTCTTTCCCCTTTGAGGCGTAATCCATTTAGGCTGGATGATTCTAGGGGTATCCACCTCAGGCCACAACATTGTGTCGTTGATTGGGTACATGATATTATTATAACAACTCATGTACATCTCGATCATGTAACAATTGTCAACATAATCCTCTGGTTCATTTCTGCAATCCTGTATCACAGCAATGACATGTAGGGCGGGGCAAAACCCGCCCGAACCCGTCGAACCCAACCCAACCCTACCGGTTTGGGTCGATTTTTAGTTATTTTGGGTGGGTTTCGGGGTATTGAGTTGCGAAGTCAAGTCGGGTCGGGTTGGGTTGTGGGTTAAATAAAAAAACCCGATACAACC